TGCCATTTATATAGTTACACTTAGATCAGAATAAATCTGCAATAGGGTTCTAGCCAACAGTTGGTAGTACTGTTACTTGTAGTGACTATTTTTTCTTAAAACATTGTTTTGTTGAGATATTTAGGAGAATTTTTGCCATTTTTGTATATTACAAAGTATTTTTTAAATAAAAACATAGCTGTAAAGTTAGAAAGGTGTCCTCTTGTGAGACAGGACTCCATTTTGTGGTATCTAGTGTGTTAACAGCAAGTAATGAATCATTGTTTTTTTTAAAAAAACAGCTAACATCTTGTTGCTTACAGAAAATGGCATAAATTTCAAACGGTGAATTGCTGCTTGCTAAGAAGCTGACATTTGTGTTCCTCACCATAAACCAGTTGTGTGAATTGGTGTGCAACAAGAAAAACAAGCTTTGATTTTTCATAGTAGGCATCCTTCAGTCTCAAGAGACTATGGTAACGTGCTCTGTATGGAGGACTTGGAACAGTGTCTTGTGTGGATGAGAAGACTAATTCGAGAGTGACAATCCCTTCCACACTGAAGACAAATACAATCTGTCCCCTGTCCAGCTCCCTGATTTTGCTGGTTTTGAGACTGCCTCTTTGCCTCAGCCTGCTGAACACGTGTCTCTTCAAATTGGGAGAGGCCATGATGCACTGCCTACCTCCAGGCTGAACACTCAGACACCAAGGTTTCCCATCTGTTGAGGTCCATTCCTAAGGCCTTCAGATCCTGTTTGCAGATATCCTTGTATCACAGCTGTGGTCTGCCTCTGGGGCGATTTCCCTGCACTCATTCTCCATGCAGGAGATCTTTTGGAATCCGACCGTCAGCCATTCTCACAACATGCCCAAGCCAACGTAGACGTCACTGTTTCAGTAATGCATACATGCTAAAAATTCCAGCTCGTTCTAGGACTACTCTGTTTGGAACTTTGTCCTGCCAGGTGATACCAAAAATGCATTGGAGACAACGCATATGGAACGTGTTCAGCTTCCTCTCCTGCCATGTACAAAGGGTCCAGGACTCACTG